CTTCCATGTTCATAGAAGCACAAGACCCCCTATCACCCGAAAGCGTCCTTTAGATTTATCCCACATCTACAGGACCTTAAAAGTTTTTCGCTCTGCTCCTACTATCAACCAGGACTACATTGTATGGTTAAATAAGATGGAGAAAGTTAAAGGTGATGTCTGGAAATCCCAATTCATTTTTTACTTGATTCAACTTTCTAGGGTTGACCCTAGTTACTGTAATTATATAATGATTTATGCCCTCTACTTCTGGGAGAGTTCTACAAACACCTTCCATTTTACGACTGGTATGCTAACCCCCATGTTGTTCGATGTTACGACTATCACTGGCCTTCGTACTACAGGTGAAACTTTCATCCCTATTGCGGCTGATGAAGATGTTATTCCCTTTGATAAGGACGTCACTGGTTTCACCAAGTACATGGAGCGTTTTCATGCTAAGGATGTTGACACGGTGTCTGATGAATAACACATCTCCTTTCTGGCCTTGTGGCTCTATAAATATATTTTCCGCAGCAGGTCTCTAAAGGTGGCCAAATGTTTCATTGCATTGGCGCATCACCTCTACATGGGTCGAAACACCTACTTGAGCAAACTCATCCTGGGGCCGCTTTATGAATCACTCAGTGTGGGGGTCAACCAGATGACCTCCCTTGCACCAACTGCCACCTATTTGCTTGTTGGTCCATTTTGGCTGCTGTAATTGTGGCTAAATTCCACCTTTGGGGATCAACTTAAATTGAAGCTTTCAGAAGCACATGGGGCATTCTTTTCTAGTCGTTCCATTGAAGGTCCTCGTCTTGTTGCGATGATGCTGTCCAACAACGACCTGACTCGAGAGGAGGCGCTTGAAACATACTTGATGTTTTTCTTCAGGTGCACCTATTTTCACCCCAACATGGCGTCGTTTGCTTCAAGACCATGTGGTCCTGAATGGTTTACTCGACCATTTCCCCCTGCTGAGCCAACGCAGGTCTCTGAATCCAAAGCCATTTGACAAGCTTTTCTGACCCCCATGCTTATAGTGTCTAGGGTTGGTTTAAACATACATTACCTTTGCCTGACTCATTTCACTCATTCACTTGGTTACTTTGAGTGACTAGCGTGCAAGAATATGAAAAGTTTGACCTCTTACAAAAGTGCACTAAGTTCTTTATTTATAATACACAGGAATAACTACTTTCTAAGTGGGCTTCGTTTCCTTGCATGCCACGTGTTCTTCGTAACTTCCCCTCATAAACTCACGTTCTCTATTGTAACTTCTCTTTATGAACCCACATTCTCCATTATGGCCGAACCCACGTTCTTCCTCCATAACGTTCCGCCTTTACAGTTTTAGGCGCTTATGAGCCTTTTAACTCTTTTGGGTTTCTCACCTCTCTTGGGCCCAATCCATTCACCATGAACTTTTCTTTAGTCGACCGCGCTTACAAAACCTTGGTCGATTTCCTGTAAAATCAACCATGGTCGACATGCTTATGTAGTCGACTCCTCATAATTTAATGCTCTTTAATGCCCTTAGAAGAGTCTTTTGGACTTTCGGTTTGGATTTCTCTCTTTGTGAAAATCCCAACCAATAGTATAAAAGACTCTGAGTCGACCTGTGACCCTCCCGATGTTCCTTTGTTGCCTTCTGTACTGTAAGCCTCTCGAGCCTACAATATATGCAGTATCTAGTGACCAACCGAATATGTGAGGGAAGTGTTGTAGGATCCATGCCTGAAAAAAATCATTTGTTAGTAACTACATCAAAATAATTTACAAAATGGCACACATATAATATAAGACCAAGAAATGTTATTGTCAAGAGTGTGATTCTACTGGTCATCCTCTTCGTCTTCCACTCACAACCTTCAGACAACTTATGGTACAAGTACACCAAACAAGCGACCCCTCAGTTCTACTCATGGATCTGCTCAAACTTGTCAAGGTACTGTAGGTACATGACATTAGTGTAAGTCACACTAGTGTCCAAAAAAATGGTAGTGCCAACCAGATAAAATATGTATGCTCTCATAGCACACTGGGCTACCTGCTCGGGATCACCATCAGCCTGTTGTGCACGTAATGCCTCTTTCATGAACACCCTTTGCAAATATCTAAATCTGACATGAGCACCACAGGTGGAGTCCATCTCCTCCATAGTACTCTTCGGGGTAACTCCTAAGTACTATACTAATAACTCTAATGCCTCCTTTTTGTCTATTCTCTCATGGTTTAAAAATCTTCCTCTTATCAGAAGATGTAACAGACATGCGACATCGTCCAGTGTGATCTTCATCTCACAATATTGTAGATAGAATGATGATGTCTTGATGTCTCATGATGTTATCTCTCAAAAAGTGTTAATCATACCATGATTAACAGTAGTATATCCACAGAGGGTCAAATCTTTCAACCCTAAAAGCAACAAGAGCTCATGAAACCATGGCTCATGGGGAACTACCATGCGAGTGATCTTACGTGCATGATTAATAATCTTTAGAGGATCACGTTCTTGCATACATGGTTTAACAAAATTGATTCAACCAAACAAAACTTAATAGAAAAATAAACACTACAAAAATTAATAGTTAAATGTAATATTTACCACTTCGTCCCCAGATATGTCTGGCAATATGGTCTGGGTATAGAGGCAGCAATGATAAATCAGAAGGCCTTCCTCCAAAACCTTGAGGTTCCGCAGGTGCAGCCTTATCTGTCTGGGCCTCAAGTGCCGCCTCATTTGCTTGGGCCGCAGGTGTCATCTCTGGTGCCGCCTGTGACTGAGACTGGGATACAGGTTGTGGCTGAGACTGAGGCTGAGATGTATTAGGCATTGACTGTATGACCTCAGGTGTCGTTTGGGAGTGTGATGTTTCTCCTTCCTCAAATATCACAGGTGAAGTAATGCGTCTACGGGAAGATGGAGGCGTGAAGGGATGATCTGGAGAGCACCGCCTTCTGTAGGAGGACGATGAAGTAGACGGAGAAACGTGAACACTAGAACCTATAGCCACAACCTGTCTAGAGGTAGAATGAGCTTGGGATGCCTGACTCCTTTCCCTCTTAACCGAAGATATTGTGCAAGTCTGTCGTTTCTCAATTTAGATGGTCTTTCAGCCATAACTCCTGTAGAAGTACGGAAAAAAACGTTACCAAAAAGACCCATGTTCAAAAAATGGGAAAAATGCAGACTGACTAAAAAAGGAGATGTATTTTCGGTTTTATATGTAACGTTGAACAAAATTAGATATGTATCTCCGGTACGACCTACAACTTTTCTACTTCGCCAATGGCGAAGCTCAACCACTAAGACATAAAAAAACGGCCATTGTTCGTAAAAACAACTATACTAAAATATTTATTCCTACTTCTAAGCTTGCAAACACTCAAAATACTTAGATTATCTAACTTAAAATATAATTTCTAGGTGAAATTACATTAACTCAAAAAAGCTCAAAAATAACTTATAATTTCTGATTTGTGTTGGTTGATGAAGCTTAAATATTGATATTTGTTTGTTGCTTGTTGATTTCTAATAAGATTTTCACACAATGGGAGTTTGAGAAAGTTTTGTGTTTGAGTTTGTTTTTGTGAGTTCAACAAAACTGTCCGAAATGAGGAAGGGGAAGAGACAACAAACGTATTTGTGTTAACTCGAACCAGAAATACACTTACGGGCCCCTCCCATAAGTGAATTTTCGATTTATTTTTGTGTGACATCTGAGGTTTCTTAGGCTAAACTATGACCTGTAGTTGACGTATTTTTGGAAATACAACTACAGTTCCCACCCGTAAATGCACTTCTGGTTAGTTCCCTGCTCTTTTATAGGATATTGTTCATTAAAAGTTTGACTTAGGATGATACCGAAAATATATTTCTAATATTTCAGGGGTATTTATGTATTGCCGCGCAATGCGTTAGAAAAGTATAAGGTGCGTTAAGAAATCCCCTGAAAATACTATTATTATGTTGCAAATCGTCCATGTAGTGTGGAGGTTGAAAAAAGAATAGCATATGACTCTTCCAGGCTAGATTTGAAAAAGGCCTTTGATAATGCCAACTAGTATTTCTTCAGAACTTGCTAACAAATTTTGGATCTCCTCTAATCATTTTTCACCTCATCATGGCTTGCCTAACAAATATTGTATCCCCTCTAATCATTTTTCACCTCGTCATGCACTATATTACTTCCCTAAATGTCATCTTGTAAGCCATCCCACAACCTTCTCCCATAAGACCCACTCTTCCTTTATCTTTTCATCATGTGCTTAAAAAGTCTTTCTATTTACATATCATATATTGTTCGTAATGGCTCTTGAAAATCTATCTACACCTCCACTCCACCAATAAACCTCGTATATCCCATAGTTTGTTTGAAGATGATCTACGTCTATTTTGCAAGGAAAAAAAAGTCCCCAGTTCAAGACTATTGCAAACATTTTTTATGGTTTTAGTCGTGCCTCAGATCGGAAGATTAACTTTAATAAGTTTTGTGCATTCTATTCATTCATTTATCCACTTGACCTCCTCATGGTGTTTTTACACAAGTCATCAACTAAAGACATCTTTGTTTGGTCTAATCATATCAAAAATAACTACACTGCCAGAAGTGATTACTCGTGGCTTCTAGATAACAAAGAAGGTTCATCATCCCTCACATATCTTCTACTCACTCTTGATATTAGATTTGGAAGATGCTTCTCGAAAAAAAATCAAGTTCTTTGTTTTCGCTTATCAATCACAAATCAGTCCTTACTCTATTCACATTGCATCACTGTAATATAAGCACTCCTACTTTGTGCACCTTTAGTAGTTTGGAAATTCATTCCTTTATTCTGTCTCATATGATATAATAGTTAGAATACAAGTATATTATTTACATACCAACCAACATATATCTAAATTATGTAAAGATTGATAAGATTGATTCGAACTGATTAATTTCACATTCTATAAAAAGTTGTTAAACATATAAGTATCTTACACTTTGTTACACATGTTTTTACTTTATCACTCAACTTTGTTTTGTTTGGTTTGGATTTGTATAACGTTTACTAAATTTGGTGACGATGTATGCCATTGCAACTTTAGCACCTAGGCTAGAGTGACCACGAGATAAACATATTGCACCCCCTAGAAGCAGCAAACTATTGGCTACCAACTTCTTTGATGGCCTTCTTGAGATCACACGCACTTGAGATTCGTCGCGAGTAGCTTGATCATGAATGATAGAAGAATGAGCGATAGACGTACTAGGTTCCAAGCAAGCTGGTACCTATGCACAAGGAATTGTTTCTGTTATATGAGAGGTGCCAGAAAATACAAGGAAATGATAACACTAACCTTCTGCATTAATTTGACTGAAGTGGTAACTGAACCGGATAAATGGCCGCTTCCAGCAGAGTATCTTCTAAGCGCTTATCCATCTTGCATACATAATCCCATATTCCACTGGAGAAAGCCAGTTTTGCCATCTTCACATTCAAACCAGCATCTTCCTGATGAATCATGGTGATCTCACAGGCATTTTCTACCAGGTACTGTAATTATACAATTGACAGTCACCAATGAATTATAAATAAAAACGAAGCACCAGTATATCACTGGGTACAGTGAAAGATTTTAAACAGCATTAAACTCAAAAAAAAGAAAATGCACAGGAATACAATTAAGTTGCCATGGTATATTATTAAATTTAGTTTGAATGTCCTGAAGAAATGACACATGGAGTAAAGAGATCTCAAGCATTT